CGGCAGGCGGACTCTTAACCACTGCGCCACCAGGGAAGCCCTGTCTTTAATTTTTGATTTGATTACTGTGTGTCTCAGCATGTTTCTCCTGAGTTTATCCTGTATGAGACTCTGTGCACTTCCTGGACTTGAGTGGCTATTTCGTTTCCCATGTTAGGGAAGTTTTTGACTATAATCTCTTCAGATATTTTCTCTGGTCCTTTCTTTCTCTCTTGTCCTTCTGCGACCCCTATAATGCAAATGTTCGTGTGTTTAATGTTGTCCCAGAGGTCCCTTAGGCTGTCTTCATTTCTTTTCATTCTTTTTTCTTTATTCTGTTCCACAGCAGTGAATTCCACCATTCTGTCTTCCAGGTCACTTATCCCTTCTTCTGCCTCAGTTATTCTGCTATTGATTCCTTCTAGCATAGTTTTCATTTCAATTATTGTATTGTTCATCTATGTTTGTTCTTTAATTCTTCTAGGTCTTTGTTAAACATTTCTTGCATCTTCTTCTTTTTTTTTTTTTGCTGTACGCGGGCCTCTCACTGTTGTGGCCTCTCCCGTTGTGGAGCACAGGCTCCAGATGCGCAGGCTCAGCAGCCATGGCTCACGGGCCTAATCGCTCCGTGGCATGTGGGATCTTCCCGGACCGGGGCACGATCCCGCGTCCCTTGCATCGGTAGGTGGACTCTCAACCATTGTGCCACTGGAGAAGCCCCCTTCTTGCATCTTCTTGATCTTTGCCTCCATTCTTTTTCCGGGGTCCTGGATCATCTTCACCATCATTATTCTGAATTCTTTTTCTGGAAGGTTGCCTATCTCCACTTCATTTAGTTGTTTTTCTGGGGTTTTATCTTGTTCCTTCATCTGGTACCTAGCCCTCTGCCTTTTCATCTTGTCTGTCTTTCTGTGAATGTGGTTTTTGTTCCACAGGCTGCAGGATTGTAGTTCTTGCTTCTGCTGTCTGCCCTGTGGTGGATGTGGCTATCTAAGAGGCTTGTTGTCTCTTCCACTTTTAAGGACTCTGTGATTATGCTGAGACCATCTGGATAACTAGGATAATCTCCCCAACTTAAAACAAGCTGATTAGCAGCTTTACTTCCCCTTTGCCATGTAGCCTAACATATTCACAGGTTCTGGGCATTAGGACATGGGTATCTTGGGAATCATTATCCTTCCTACAGTATATAGTAAGTAACAAAGTTGCAAGACAGTTTGTAGAGTTTTAATTCCATTTGGATTTGAAAAAATGAATGTTGGTTAGAAATCATGTGGCATAAGGAGTAATCCACTTTAAGAAAACACTGTATTCAAGAATATGACACCAAAAGAGAAGAAAGGTCAGCTGCTTTATTCATTTTACCGATTCTCAACAGTTTTGATTGACAGGCAGTAGGACACAATTTGGTTTACAAACAGTGAATCAGTTGCATGAAGTGTGCTTGTGCAGTCCCACACCCTCCCAGAGCAGTTCTCTGGTTTCCCCCTGGGCATTGTTTAACTTTTATCAAGGGACCAGTTACTCCCTGATCTCTCATAGATGAGCATAGGTTAGACCTGGCCTCAGAACTTTTCTGTATGCTGTGAACTGTACATTTTACTAAAAGTTAATTACTATCACACACAAAGCATAGTATCACTTAGTAATCATATTTATTAAATGAATAACATTTATTAAATCTGTTCAGATATATCTTTCATTTACGTGTACCCTTCATCCAACTTTGAATGAGTCAAAATCTTTCTAAAATAAGCATTAGGTAGAGAGTAATTTCCTCCAGATATACAGATGGGAAACTGTAAGAATTCACAGGCAACCTGGAGTAAACAGATGGTCTTACATCACTCCTGCCGGTGTGGGCTCTTTTCAAAGCACAGTGACGATGCCATACCCTTTTGCACAAAAATAATGAATTTGGCCCCAGTATTTTTATCATTCACACATCTAAAACCCCGTTGCTCTTATTTTCATGAGTTTTGGTGCCCTTAAAAATGAGAATTTCTTAGTTGAAATGCATTGAGCGTTTCTGTCTGCCTGTCAGTATTTCTAGCTCTTACTTTATTAAACACTGAGTTTCTGAAATGATAGGTCATGGTATTTGTACTGTTATTTTCATATAGCTCTTTTCTATTAAATGGTAGATTTAAAAAATTGATATTTTAAATTCGAACTTCTTTCTTCCAGCCCTTTGGATTATGGTTTTGAATTGAGGTTGATTTGGGGAAAACACTGCTAGTTCAAATACATGGAAAACTTTGTTTTAATGATGGAATTCTGTGTGTGTGCATTACTGGAAAACGAAATTAAAACTGTCTGAATCTGATACATTACTGGAGAGATTGCAGAAATTCTTTTTTTTAATTTTAATTTATTTATTTTATTTATTTATTTTTGGCTGCGTTGGATCTTCGCTTCTGCACGCGGGCTTTCTCTAGTTGCCGTGAGAGGGGATTCCTCTTCATTGTGGTGCACAGGCTTCCCGTTACTGTGGCATCCCTTGTTGCGGAGCACAGGCTCTAGGCACATGAGCTTCAATAGTTGTGGCTCATGGGCTCTAGAGCACAGGCTCAGTAGTTGTGGGCTTAGTTGCTCTGTGGCATGTGGGATCTTCCGGGACCAGGGCTTGAACCCGTGTCCCCTGCATTGGCAGGCAGATTCTGAACCACTACGCCACCAGGGAAGCCCCAAGAAATTCTTGTTTACTTAATTGGTATTTAAGTGTTCATATGTCCCAGCAGCATTTAAAAAGTAGCCTTAATTTGTGTGTAATGAATACTTAACACATTGAGTTTTCAGATTGAACTTATTTATAATAAAAAACAAATGAAAAAAATCTGTTGCTTGACAAAGTATAGCTAGGTTGTGGGTAGTCTTTTCTCACTTTGACATTACATTTGACGATCAACAGGCATTTTTATAAGCTCAGTGGGCAGGCTCAGTCTAGAGATTCGACTTTGGCAGGCAGAATATGAAATAGTTTAAATAGTTTTGCTGTATATTTATTATTGCCCAGTGAATGTGCACTTGTTGGAGAGCTGCCTTTTTTCTTCTTTTTTTAAAATCTGACATAAAATAGCAAACTGCTCTTTCACTGTTCTTTGTGTTTACCTGTGTTTTGCCGTTTAGGGTTTTATATACCTTTTGCAAGGAGGGAATGATTTGGTGATGGAGTGCTCCCACTGACCCATGGACTCAAAGAAGAAAAGGTAAAACCATTTTTTCCTTTTCCCCTACCCTTCTAGGAAAACACAACAGACAGTTCCACTTATATGTAGCTTCTCTTCAGTTTAATTTTCTTGTTGATGGCTATTAATTAGGAATAGTGACATTTGTGTTGATTGGTAAAGAGAGAAAGATAATTACAATAAAGCTTGTTAGTGGTACACTTTGTTGCTAGCTCCTTTCTTATGCTTATAAGAGGCACAAAATGTCTTCACCATTTTAAAGCTTTGAGGCCATTTCTTTTGTCACACATAATTTCAAGTTTTCAAAAGTAGCCTTATTAATTGTAATTCTATCCTTAGAGAACTCGGCGCCATGAATGATATTTTGAAAGGAGGGTTAGGTTTGTGGCTTTCCTTTCATAAAAACATGGTTATGCCTAATTACAGTTCAGAGGAATATTATTTAACAAAAGTAGAGAAAATCCTAGGTATTATAAAATAAAGAAAACCAAAAAAAGTTTCTGTGCCTCATTAAAATATTGGCATCACTGTTCTAGAAAAAAAGAATATGAAAATAAATGCCCCATCAATGGCGACACAAAGGAAAATATTATATAAAGGGAAACCCAGAGTATGTTAATGTGTCCTTTTCTTGGAAAGGGAGGCAGTTGGGATACGGTCATTGTTATACAGCTGTGTGTTTTATGTTCTTTGAACTAGGGTTATCAGATGGATAGAGTTCTTTGGCTAGAACGTGAGTAAAGCATGAAGGATTTTACTGGTACCTGTTATAAATTTAGTTCTTAAAAATTTAAATAAGAATTATAGAGCTTAAACTTGGTATAAAGGGAAATATGGATCCCTATTCCTTCTGTCTTTCTCATCAAATACTTTTTTTTTAAATACCAAATTAAAAACTAAAAATTTAAAATAAGACTCCAACTTGGGACATGTTATAACTTTAACATCTAAACAAGGAGTTAATGTACTGAGAAGTAAGAATCTTGAAATTTTAAATCAGAAAACTTCAAAAAATAGCCCAGGTTTTGTTTGCTTCTTAGATAGAGATAAGTAATTTGTGGGTTTATCCTCAAATCATTTATATAAATAGTAATTTTACCTCTGCTCCTGTGTCATAACCATGCCATAAAATAGGTGCCGACCTATCTGACTCAGTCACCCATGTACTGGTAAAAGGTATAAATCTCATGACAGTATGAAGGACAAAAGATACAGTTCTGAACTGGAGGAACAAGCTATTTTAAGCTATTTTTCTTGATGTTTGTAGCTCAACAGAAGCTGAAGGATCCAAAGAAAGAGGCCTGGTCCATGTGTGGCAGGCAGGCTCCCGTTCTGTAACACCAGAGAGATTGCCAGGCTGGGGAGGAAAGACTGTTCTTCATGCGGCCCTTGGAGTGAAACATGGAGTTCTTCTGACTGAAGGTACTGAAAAGAACGGCTTAGCCAACACTAACTGAGACTCTGACCAGTGTCGGAGCGTATAGAAGCAGCTGAGAGTTACTGGGTACGAGGGATTCTGAGTGAACTTTGCTGGAACTTATGCTTTTTTTGTTTTCAAAATATGTTCTTACTCCCTTTATCAGAAATCAGATGAGTTCTTATATTTAAGATGTACCATAACTAGAATAAAAGGGAGAATTACAGTTTAAAAATTTTAGTAGTGATAAGTACATGAAAAATTAGATTTTTTAAAAGATTATGTATTCAGAGACCCTTTTGCTATACCTTTTTTCATTAAATGTATCAGAATAATAATGCTAATAATAGCTAATGTTTATTAAACAATTATATGTGCCAGGCACTGCACTAAGCACTTTATATGTATTATCTCATTGAGTCCTCACAACTACCTTATGAGGTAGCTGCTGTTATTATCCCCACTTCACAGGTGAGGAAGCTGAAGGTCAGGGAGGTTAAATTGTTTTCCCAAGCACACACGACTATTAAAAGGGTCAGAGTTAGGATGGGAACCCAGAGAGTCTAATTTCAAAATTTGCTTTTTAAATCTATTGGCTGTACTGTCTCAGTACCATTTTTCTCAGGCATAAATAGCAGCTCATAAGAACATATAATAAAATCTACAAATCTATGTCAGAAACATAGGCTATAATTTATATAGAGAGCTGCCTTTAATTTTGATGGCACTTTACCAACTAAGTCATGGCAAATTTGATTTGGGTCAGGACTGCCATCAGCTCTTACTAATTTATAAATTTCTACTCTGTAAGTATTAAGTATTTAACAATGCTTTGGTATTTTCCTTGTAGGAACTAAGGGAAGACAGATTCTAGGAAACAAAGCTTAAATCTGACCATGGTGGTTTTTTGGGGCAAACATGGATTTCTTTCTAATTTCTTTATTATTATGTCACCTTTATTATAATAATACATAATACTATTATTATTATTGTATTAGGCCAGAATTTAGAGAAAGTCTTATTTTTCAAATGTGAACTATATCCAGTACCTGTGGGCTTCAAAATCTATAGTTCTCAAACATATATAAATAGAATTCTGTTACTGTCGTTTTATTAGCCCCTCAGTAAGATATTTAGGAATCCTTCATGAGCATATCTTTAAACATATAGAATCAAACCTAAAAGCCTGGGAAAAATGAGGGAAAACTTTAAAAAAATGTAAACAACCTATGTTCATGTTTAAGCAGTGTTCTGGTTTAAGTGTCAAAGTAACAAAAAATCTCAGCTCACACAAATGTGTAGCTTGAAGTGGCACAAAGATCTCGGGTACTTTTCTAAGTGAGGAAATGGTACTGATTGAATACTAGAAATTTTCAAGCTTTGTCTCTATTCAATTTGACCATTAGCTCATAATTCAATGAGGACACCTCATTGACTCACTATTTTTGAGGTATTCCAGGTTAAAAAAATGATGTCTAAATATTCACTTCTCTGCAATTTGCTCTGGAGAGACTGTTATTCTAATGGAATATAATACCAATTGAAAGTGTTGGTGAACTGTTGCAAGTGTGTTATGTCACTTGGGAAGAAAAGTTTAAAAGATCTTAACCAGTGAGCTTATTTTCTCAGTACTCTATCCAAATTAGAAATTCCCTAATAAAAGCTGATCTTCCCTCTAGCCACTATTGTGTTTTTCCTTACATAGATGTTGTAGTGAGTTTGAGTATATAAATGTATCTGCCATGTGTAATAGGCCAAAGTTAAAGTATGCCTTTTTTTCATCAGCAACTCAGTTGCTGCTGGAGGAAAAATAGTACCTATTTTCATTAATTTTAAAAAAATGGGTGACCCTCTGGTCACACAGGAAAGAAAGGATGGTGGGCTTTGTTTAATATTTTTCAAAACCCATGGCCAAGTCTTTGTTCCATTTGAGTTTTTTAGCTAGCATAAATCATTTGCACATACCCGCAAATTTTCCCAATACCTGCAGTAAAACTATGACTTGGTAGCACACGTGAACACAAATAGGTTATCATCATTCATGTACCCAACTCACTGGTTCCTTCCCTTTTAATTCTAAAGCTAGCCAGTCATGGCTTCATTTGTTTTTTTCTTTGTTTTGTTGTGATTTGCTTTTTAAACAAATGACACCTCAGGAAGGCTATCTAGTACACAATATATATTATAAATAACATTTAAAAATTATACATAGTATGGTACACAACATCATGTTAACATTGGTGCCCTCAGTCCAATCTGGAGGTATAAAGCTAATTTCATAGTTTTGGCCAAAGTGAATCTCTAATATTTTTAAATCATTGCATAATTTTTTGCTGCTCTGACTTATTCAGTAGCAGTGAATGTTGTAGATATTAGCGAATGTGTCTGTTTTATCTTCTGCTTATTTTATCTGATCATGTCATGATCATTATTTTGTCTTTGAACTCTTGGAATCTTGCTTCTGTAATAGCCTGCAATGATAGCCATTAGTAACGGATCGATGCTAGGAGTTTGTAGGATAAGGCTGAAGGAGAGGAGCAGTACCCTTCATCTGAAGTAGTCTCCTTTAATTTGTAGAAATTGTCACTATATTTCAGAATGTTTGTTAAAAGATTCATAAGTGTGGAATGCTATCTGCTTCAACCAGATTTCTACAACTGTGCTTTTGAAAATTAAAAAAAGGAAAAAAAATTCTATTTTGTTACACCTAGAGGGGACTAAAAGTTAGCTGATAAAATTTCTAGTTAATTCACTAACTCCCTCCCTTTTTTTTTTCCAAACCTTCAGATGGTGAGGTCTACAGCTTTGGGACTCTCCCCTGGAGAAGTGAACCAGCAGAGATTTGTCCGAGTAGCCCCATTCTAGAAGAGGTGCTGGTTGGGCAGTATGTCGTTACTGTGGCAACAGGGAGTTTCCACAACGGAGCAGTGACAGAAAGTGGCGTAGTGTACATGTGGGGGGAGAACTCTGCTGGTCAGTGTGCGGTAGCTAACCAGCAGTATGTTCCGGAACCAAATCCTGTCAGCATTTCTGATTCCGAGACCAGTCCTTTGTTAGCGGTCAGGGTCTTGCAGCTGGCATGTGGCGAGGAGCACACTCTGGCATTGTCCCTAAGCAGAGAGATTTGGGCATGGGGTACCGGTTGTCAGTTGGGTCTCATTACCACTACCTTCCCAGTGACAAAGCCACAAAAGGTGGAACATCTTGCTGGGCGAGTAGTGCTACAAGTTGCCTGTGGTGCGTTCCACAGCTTAGCCCTGGTGCAGTGCCTCCCTTCCCAGGATCTGAAGCCAGTGCCAGAAAGATGTAACCAGTGCAGCCAGCTGTTAATCACAATGACTGACAAAGAAGACCATGTGATTATATCAGACAGCCATTGCTGTCCATTAGGCGTGACACTATCAGAATCCCAGTCAGAAAACCAGGCCAGCACTGCCATCAGCCCCTCCACTGAAACCCTTGATGGCAAGGGAGAAGTGTTTGAGAACACCTTCGTACAAAATGAGCTGCCTGCTGCTACCGAACTGAATGTTGGAAATGTTCAGACCACAAGTGTTGAGACCATTTCCTTCCCACAAGATGTCATGGGAACACCTGAAATTTCTTCTGCAAGAAGTATACCATCGTACCCTGACACTCAGGCAGTAAATGAATATGTGCAGAAACTGTCAGATCATTCAGTAAGAGAGAACTCAGAGAATGGTGAAAAGCCAGTGCCATCTCAGGTACCTGCTAAATTTTGTAATATAAAGTTGAACCATATGAGTTTTCTTGAGAAACTTTAAAATACCTAAGGGTTGGTACCATTTTTTATTTTTTGAGTTTGACTATTAATCTGTCTTATCATGCAAGCCTAGATAAGGAAAACCCTGGATTAATTCAAAATTACTCTTCATGTTCAAATTCTGGCCCTTTATTTATGATATTGAAAGATGTTATTCTGGGATTCTTTTGTAAGTAGAAAAATGCCATTTTTTTTCCCAAGTACTTTTTACCCCATGGTTAAGGTGGGCCCCTGAAGAGTTTAATCTAACATGACTATATATTCACAAAGAATTCTCTTATCTGTATTTGTAGCACTCTTCAGATACTATTGAGAAAAATCCTTTACTTCTTTATCAGAGAAGGTTGCTGTGTGGCGGATCCCTTGCTTATAGGCAGACTTGAAACTGACTGGCATTACATACTGTTCGAATTCTTTTCAGTTATACCAGTGGTCCTCACTGGGCGTCACTGGGCGGAGGGTTTTATATTCTCTTCATCTCGTTTAAACTACTTTCACTTTGAAAACTTGTAGTAAGTGGAGAAAAGCTATTTACCAGGGGCATGTAGTAAGCTGTCACCCTACTTAAAACAAATTGTTCTAAAGGATACTTGTTTTTTTACTCTTAGTGGAAGCCTTTTGCTTTTGCTTTTCCAAAACTCTAAGAAAACAAATCTAAACAGAAACTTATAATCCTAGGGACTTCCTTGGTGGTCTAGTGGTTAAGACTCAAAAAAAAAACCAAAAAAACTAATCATAAAAGAGCTGCCTTGTGGCGTTGCTTTCAGGTTTTTGAAACCACATAGCCTCTGGATTCTTCATCACTGTTGTTTACTGGTTCAGAATGGGAACGTGGCTTAGAGGTGTTTTTAGAAACAGTTTTTATTTCACAGTCTACTCACCGAACCTTATATGTTTGATTTTTTAAAAAAATTTTTTATTAAGAAGCTGTTTGGAGAAAGAAAAATCTAAACAAAGCAAAAGTAATAATTGAACAGGACTTGTACATGCTTATAAAAAAGTTAGATTTTGACTTTCCAAAAGTCATTTCTCTGATTTATTAAAGTTGTAGTTAAAAGTTTATTGTATACTGTTTATTTGAATAATAGATTATCATTATTGAAATTGCACTTTCCTTTGGACCTGTTTGGTTAAACATTTAAAGTTTTTGTTACCTATGCTAGTTTTGGCAGTGTGTGTTTAAGTGTAATTCCATCTTTGTAAATAGTGTCTCAATAATACAGCTAACTATTAGGAATTTATGTGGCTTAGGACAAGTATTTTTCTTCTGGCCAGATGTAATTGAAAGAATATCTCACGTTTGTGAAATAAACCAAAGTATTTGGCAATGAAGCATATATTTCATTATTGCATTTTGCTGTTGGTTGATTGGAACCCCTGAAATTATGTCTTCCATCAAAATTGCTGGGCATGTGTTTTTGTTTTATTTATTTACTTATTTTATGAATTGTTAAATTTAATTAAGTAGAGGAGCCAGTTAGAACAATATATATATAAGGTAGAGTTCTTTTGACTTTCCTCCACCTAATGGTAAGAACTCTCTAAATTAGTCACCCCTAAATACCATCACTGCTTCTGTTATGAGCTTTTGTAAATAGATGGTGGAAATAGTGACACCAGTTTTTCTGAACAAGTTATCATGAGAACTGTGTCATCAAGGAAGTAATAGGCTTTGTATTTATCTTTTTTAATATGGTATATTTGTTTATTTTGTTGGATATTTTAATTAAAGACTCACATTTTGTTGAATTTAGTATTTAATTGAACAGAATGTATTGAGTGCCTACTACATGTCAGGCACTGTGCAGGGAACAGGAATTATTTCCTTTAAGAGAAATCAGAAACCAGTGTTAAAAAATATTTTTGGTTTGGTTTGCAATTCAGGACAAATTAAGATACACACACACACCCTCCCACCCCTTGGGATCTTTGGGTAGCACAGGAAACAAAATTTTCATTGTGACCTATGCTCATGAGCCAAAAGCTTTTTCGTGTGTTAGTAGGTATATCTAGTGACTTTCTTTTTTAGTAAACAGTGGTGCTTGACAGCTCAGAGTAAGTTTTAACTGATTTTTCACTAAGATATCAGAAAACCTTAGTTGGTTTTCTAATACAGCTGTGAATTACACTAAGAACCTTGGATCCAAATGTTTAATGATTAACCTACCACATTGCTCGATGGTAGTGAGAGCAAAGGTAATCTTTCAGTTTACCTTGCCCCTGGGTCATGGAAAATAACTCTTGATGAGACAGTAGAAGGACAGAAATTTCAAAACATAGTTTGGGGGCGGATGGTTTAGAGGTGTAACTTATTTTTCTGCCTGTGTATGCCATATATAAATTTGTGTTCATAAAACATTTTAGGAAAAGCCTTTTCTTCTTAAAATGTAATTTTTCTCATGATTTCTTAGTAAAAATCTGTGTAATTTTTCCTAGTAGTGATCAATAATAAAACTTGCATTTTTTCAACCTTCTATCCAGGGCTATTACCTCATATTGAAGGCGATGTTTTCCATACCTCCCCACCCCTTTTATTTTATAAAAGCAGCTGGGACCTATTTTTAAATACCATGATAAAACACCACTCAAACAAAAGGAAGTACTTTTGATAAGGAACTGTATTTTAAGTACTCATTTCCATCTAATGTGTTAAATCTGTGATCAAGAAGGGATACCTTTAGGTTGGAGATGAAGAGACCTCTTGTTTTAGATTCTTGTATTTGCAAATAGTGATAGATGTTACACTTTCTTTTTATTGATTGCTTGTTGTATATGGGATTGTATTTTTATATACTTTTTTACGTGTGTATATTTTAGCCTCTTGTAGCAGAAGCGATTCCTAATCTTCACAGCCCAGCAACCACAAGCACTTCAGCCCTGAACAGCCTAGTGGTCTCTTGTGCATCTGCTGTTGGTGTGAGAGTGGCTGCTACATATGAAGCTGGGACCTTGTCTCTTAAGAAAGTTATGAACTTCTATAGTACAGCCCCTTGTGAACCTGGAGCTCAGGCAGGCAGTAGTCCCATAGGCCCAGAAGGTCTGAAAGATAGCAGAGAAGAACAGGTTAAACAGGAGTCAATGCAAGGAAAAAAGAGTTCAAGTCTTGTGGATATCAGAGAAGAAGAATCAGAGGGAGGCAGCCGAAGACTCTCTCTCCCTGGATTGTTGTCACAAGGTAAGGAAACAACCAGCTTTTGTGAGTTGACTTTTGGTGAATCCAAGATGCTCCTGACATCACATGCTATGTTATAATAAATTCGCTTTCCTAACATATTCAGATGTCAAAATTTATTTAATTAAGTAGCTTTTTAAAAGCTACATGTTTCTCTGCTTTAGAAATAACTTTAGACCCTCACTTTTTCATAATACCTGCTTCTGCTTATGAACCTTGTTTTGAGTCTTATTTGATTGTTCTGGAATGTAGCAGTAGCTTCCTTATTTCCTGGGTGGGCCTGGACTCCAGATCGATGAAGTTGCAGATGTGATCATTGGGTAAATGAGGAGTTAATGTACTTACGCCCTGAAAGTGAGGATGATTTTAAGCTTCAATAAGAGAAAGCTTCATTTTCTGAAGCCATTAGCGATTAACTTCTTAGAATATTGAGAATATTGCACAGTTGTTTCTTCTGCATTTCTCACTCAGTTCAGGAGTCTCAGTCATCTAGACTTTTGCTTCTCAAGGTGGCCTGCAGACCAGCAACATCAGCAGCATCTGGGAGTTTGTTAGAAATGCAGGATTTCAGGCTGCATATACCAAACTTAGTGAGTCAATATACATTCTAACAAGATCCCAAGGTGATTAACATGCACATCAAAGTTCAAGAAGTATTGGATTAGATCAACCAGGGGTTGGCAAAGTTGTTTTTTTTTTTTTTGGCCCTGACCAGCGATTGAACCTGTGCCCTTGGCAGTGAAAGCACGGAGTCCTAACTACTGAACCGCCAGGGAGTTCCTGGCAAACTTTCTCTATAAAGAGCTAAAGAGAAATATTTTGTGATTTGTAGGCCATACAGTCTCTGTTACAACTACTTGACTTTGCTTAAAAGCAGTCATAGACAATACATAAATAAATGAGCTATATTCCAATAAATCTTTATTTACAAAAACAGGCAGTGGACTATATTTGACCCATGGGCTATAGTTTAGAGCTTTGCACAAAATGGTATAAACCAGTGGTTAGGAAGTTAGGAATACTAGACTAGACTAAAACTTACCTTTTCTGCTATGTCCCTATTCCCTACCCTTGTTCTACTTAATTGCTCTCTTTGGTGCCACTGAGCACTTTTGCTATCCTGCCTCCTGATTCTCATTGCCCCTAGATTCATCTGTGCAAATAAAACCCTAGTCCTGATTTGTGTGTGTGTGTGTGTGTGTGTGTGTGTGTGTGTATCCCATGAATTCTGCTAAGTCTGAAGGATAATCTTGGGCCAAAATGTTCTTATTCTGAAATGTCCTTTAGCATTTTCAGTATAAATATAATATTTGAGATCTCCTTGAACCACAGATGTGGGATATTGATTTTTCTCATGCCATTAGACCATGTGAAATATGCAATTCTACTAACAGACTTATTTCCTTAGGTTAAATTTTACTTAGTGAACTTAAAGTATCTTTAGAAAAAATTTTCCATGTACTCTTTTTCTCTATTTTAAAATGATCTAGAATACATCTTTGAGGAAACCTCAAGTAGGTGTATTTGAGTCTTTGCATGTACAAGTGGATGATATACTCACCAGAAAAGATTGTGATCTTAGCCAGGGATGATCACTTTCTTTGTGGCCCACAACTTAATGACCAAGTGACTTAAGTCTATACCTAGTGACATTTGATGATTTTCTTCAAAACATATCCTGTCACCAGATTGGTGTACAAGACTTAAATAGTGTTGTACGCCTTTGTTATAATTCTGAACACTCTAAAAGATGTCAGCATTCTTTTTTTTAAATATTAAGTTCTCTATAAAATAATTTAAAGTAGGCAGCAAAATACAAAATCTTTTTAGTACTTCCCATTCATAACCATTTCCTCACTGTAGAAACTTTTAAGTTTTGTGTCTAAAATAAATCTTTTGTTACAATATTTATAGTATGCTTGACCTTAGACCTTAATTTGGAAAGGCTTAACTTTTAACTCTGCTTTGAAATGGGAAAAATATTTGTTAGCCTTAGTGTAGTATTTTGTTAAGCTTATTCTTTAGAATACCAGTTCCGTGGGATGTCACGTAGACATTCTGTATAACAAATGTTATACAGAAAAGGATTTTGTGGCTAAATGTTTGGAAGTGGGGCAGGGTTAAACAGATTTAAACAGGGCTTTCAATTGCAGGACTTTTCAGCACCTTTAGCATGCTAATGCGTGTGTGTGAATCTCTACGGGGCAGGTAGGGGGGAGGAAAGAATGCAGTAGGCAGTGTTTACCAAACTCATTTGACTACTTAATCCCCAGTTTTGCAGAGGACCTGTAGAATATGCTTCACAAATACCATGTTAGTATATTTCTTTGAAAATCAACAGTTCATTAAAGTGGTACATTTTATCTCACCCATCTACTCCCTCATGATATCTCTGGTTTGTTTTCAGTCTCCCCCAGGCTCTTGAGAAAAGCTGCAAGGGTGAAAACGCGGACAGTGGTTCTGACCCCTACATACAGTGGAGAAGCGGATGCGCTCCTGCCTTCTCTGAGAACAGAGGTGTGGACCTGGGGTAAAGGGAAGGAAGGACAGCTGGGTCATGGTGATGTTCTGCCTAGGTGAGTGCTGCCAGTGTTTACTGTCAGAAATTAGCTTAAACAAATAACCTCTCTCCTGTGAAGGTCTCCAGATCTCCGTTTCCTCATAGAGGAAATCTGGTTTCTTCTAGCTCTAGATTATTATACACCATTAACTCTGATAAAAAACAAAACAAATACCTCCCACCCCCAATCAGTCTTAGTCTTGAATTTGTTTCCAGCAATAAAGGACTTAAGTATCTATGGTATATCTTTCCATCTCTTCTTTGATGTATATTCATCTTAGAATACAGAAAGGGGCGTTTGGGATAAGATTGTATTTCTTTGGAACACGTGAATGGTTCAAATTCTTAACTTATAAAAAACAACCAACAATTTTTTTTTTTTACCTGAAAGAGATCTATCTGCTGCTGCCAGAATAACTATAACCACAGTAATAAACCATGTCTATTCATGTACATCACGGAAAAACTGTTTTGTTTAAGAGAAACTAGTACGATATTAACAATAGATATTTGTGAAAGTGTGTGAATAGAATGATTATCTAAAACAGCCAGTTAATATAAATGTCTCTTTTATTCCTAGCAGAGTGAAAGCAACTAATGTGTTAAAAAAATGACAACTCCCCTCTTTGGTTATATTTCATTGTCCTAAGTATATTCTCTGCCATATGAATCATTCAGTTGTTTTATGATTCTTAACAGATTCTGAACTATGGTGGTTAATTAGTGATTAATAGACAAAGATTAGGTTGAAACCATTCAAAATTATTTATATTTAGGAGTAGATTGAACATACATCCTGTATTTTTATTTTAATGTTTTCTTTTGAAATATTTACTTTTACTTGAAAGCACTTACTCTGTAATTTGAGAAAGGCCATGATTCTTGCTGAGAATATTTCTTACTTTGAATTTGTATATGTCTGTGTATGTTTTTCTTTAAGGCTTCAACCACTGTGTGTAAAATGTCTGGATGGTAAAGAAGTAATCCATCTGGAGGCAGGTGGTTACCATTCTCTTGCACTTACTGCGAAATCCCAGGTAGGAGGCAAACTATTAAAAGCTGATGTTAATTTCATGGAAGGCCAACCTGATGAGATTGGACCATCATTTATTGAGTATATGCTGTGTGTCAGGCAACAATCCTGTATCTCATTTGATCTTTTCAGTGGTTTACATTGCACTGTATTATTTCCATTTTACAGGTGAGGAAAGGGAGGTTTAGAGAAATTATGTAACTTGGCTAAAGTCACACACGTGACTGTAGACTTTGGATTCAACATTGGCCTACTTGACAAAGAAGCTTTCTATAATGTGCTCTTATGGAAAAATAAAACTGAGTTTTCTAGGGTATTGGTGAACTTCTGTTTTCTGATGAAGAAAATCCATAAGTAAGACACTAAGAAACCAAAACACATTTCTCTCTTAAAATTGAAGGACCTGAAAGTGACCTCCAGAATCATTTAAAACCATGCCCATATGCATAAACCCTCCTAAGGAAAGTAGTTTTTCAGACTTATTCTTAAATATATTCATATAATGACTCTTCATCAGTCCCTTTATCTTTTTAAGAGAAGTCAATAAAAGATTCTAAAACCTTTAAGTGCTTTATTTTAACTATCACATAGTAGGATAGCCAAAAAGCTATTATAGCTCATATAAATACATATAAATATTAGGAAAGAAAAGGATAATTTTATTATTATTAACATATGAATCATCAAAAGGGCTTAAAAATAAGAAATTAGGAAGGTGGCAAGTTACAAAATAAGCATAAAAATTGCTAACTTTCTTTTATACATAAGGTAAAGCAGAAAGCATACTTGGGGAAAAAGAAGCTGTTCACAATTACAACAAAAGTATTAAGGAAATAGGAACATCGTTAACGGGAAAAGTGTAGAGCCCACATGACACAAATTCCAGAACTCTTCTAAGTTATAAAAGAAAATAGGAGTAAAGAGAGAAATTTTATTTTTATTATTATTATTTTCTGAATTTTATTTAATTTATTTTTTTATACAGCAGGTTCTTAGTAGTCATCCATTTTATACATATCAGTGTATACATGTCAATCCCAATCGCCCAATTCAGCACACCACCATCCCCACCCCACCGCGGTTTTCCCCCGCTTGGTGTCCATATGTTTGTTCTCTACATCTGAGTCTCAACTTCTGCCCTGCAAACCAGTTCATCTGTACCATTTTTCTAGGTTCCACATACATGTGTTAATATACGATATTTGTTTTTCTCTTTCTGACTTACTTCACTCTGTATGACAGTCTCTAGATCCATCCACGTTCTCAACAAATGACTCAGTTTCGTTCCTTTTTATGGCTAATATTCCATTGTATATATGTACCACAACTTCTTTATCCATTCATCTGTCAATGGGCATTTAGGCTTCCATTTAGGTCAGTGGGCTTCCATGACCTGGCTATTGTAAACAGTGTTGCAATGAACATTGGGTTGCATGTGTCTTTTTGAATTATGGTTTTATCTGGGTATATGCCCAGTAGTGAGATTGCTGGGTTGTATGGTAATTCTATTTTTAGTTTTGTAAGGAACCTCCATACTGTTCTCCCTAGTGGCTGTATCAATTTCCATTCCCATCCACAGTGCAAGAGGGTTCCTGTTTCTCCACACTCCCTCCAGCATTTGTTGTTTGTAGATTTTCTGATGATGCCTATTCTAACTGGTGTGAGGTGATACCTCGTAGTTTTGATTTGCATTTCTCTAATAATTAGTGATGTTGAGCAGTTTTTCATGTGCTTCTTGGCCACCTGTATGTCTTCTTTGGAGAAATATCTATTTAGGTCTTCTGCCATTTTTGGCTTGGCTTGTTTCTTTAGTATTGAGCTGCATGAGCTGTTTATATATTTTGGAGATGAATCCTTCGTCCGTTGATTCGTTTGCGAATATTTTCTCCCATTCTGAGGGTTGTCTTTTCGTCTTGTTTATGGTTTCTTTTGCTGTACAAAAGCTTTGAAGTTTCATTAGGTCCCATTTGTCTATTTTTCTTTTTATTTCCATTACTCTAGGAGGTGGATCAAAAAAGATTGTGCTGTGATTTATGTCAGAGAGTGTTCTTTGGGGCTTCCCTGGTGACGCAGTGGTTGAGAGTCCGCCTGCCGTTGCAGGGGACACGGGTTCATGCCCTGGTCCGGGAAGATCCCACGTGTCGCCATGGCACGGAGCAGCTAGGCCCATGAGCCATGGCTGCTGAGCCTGTGTGTCCGGAGCCTGTGCTCCACAATGGGAGAGGCCACAACAGTGAGAGGCCCGCGTACTGCAAAAAAAAAAAAAAGGGTTTTTCCTTTGTTTTCCTCTAAAAGTTTTATAGTGTCCAGTCTTACATTTAGGTCTCTAAGCCATTTTGAGTTTATTTTTGTGTATGGTGTTAGGGAGTGTTCTAATTTCATTATTTTACATGTAGCTGTCCAGTTTTCCCAGCACCACTTACTGAAGAGACTATCTTTCCTCCATTGTATATCTTTGCCTCCGTCGTCAAAGATTAGTTGACCATAGGTGCGTGGGTTTATCTCTGGGTTTTCTATCTTGTTCCATTGATCTATGTTTCTGTTTTTGTGCTAGTACCTTATTGTCTTGATTACTGTAGCTTTGTATAGTATAGTCTGAAGTCAGGGAGTCTGATTCCTCCAGCTCCGTTTTTTCCCCTCAAGACTGCTTTGGCTATTCGGGGTCTTTTGTGTCTCCATACAAATTTTGAGATGATTTGTTCTAGTTCCGTAAAAAATGCCATTGGTAATTTGATAGCGATTGCATTGAACCTGTAGATTGCTTTGGGTAGTATAGTCATTTTCACAGTATTGATTCATCCAATCCAAGAACATGGTATATCTCTCCATCTATTGGTATCATCTTTAATTTCTTTCATCAGTGTCATAGTTTTCTGCATACAGGTCTTTTGTCTCCCTAGGTAGGTTTATTCCCAGGTATTTTATTCTTTTTGTTGCAATGGTAAATGGGAATGTTTCCTAAATTTCTCTTTCAGATTTTTCATCATTAGTGTATAGGAATGCCAGAGATTTCTGTGCATTAATTTTGTATCCTGCAACTTTACCGAATTCATTGATAGGCTCTAGTAGTTTTCTGGTGGCATCTTTGGGATTCTCTATGTATAGCATCGTGTCATCTGCAAACAGTGACAGTTTTACTTCTTCTTTTCCAATTTGTATCCTTTTATTTCTTTTTCTTCTCTGATTGCCATGGCTAGGACTTCCAAAACTATGTTGAATAATAATGGTGAGAGTGGACATCCTTTTCTTGTTCTTGATCTTAGGGGAAATGCTTTCAGTTTTTCACCATTGAGAATAATGTTTCCTGTGGGTTTGTCATACATGGCCTTTATTATGTTGAGGTAGGTTCCTTCTATGCCCACTTTCTGGAGAGTTTTTATCATAAATGGGTGTTGAATTTTGTCAAAGGCTTTTTCTGAATCTATTGAGATGATCATATGGTTTTTATTCTTCAACTTGTTAATATGCTGTATCACATTGATGGATTTGCATATATTGAAGAATCCTTGCATCCCTGGGATAAATCCCACTTGATCATGGTGTATGATCCTTTTAACATGTTGTTGGATTCTGTTTGCTAGTATTTTGTTGAGGATTTTTGCATCTATATTCATCAGTGATATTGCTCTATAATTTTCTTTTTTGTAGTGTCTTTGTCTGGTTTTGGTATCAGGGTGATGGTGGCCTCATAGATTGAGTTTGGAAGTGTTCCCTCCTCTGCAATTTTTTGGAAGTGTTTATGAAGGATGGGTGTTAGCTCTTCTCTAAATGTTTGATAGAATTCACCTGTGAAGCCATCTGGTCCTGGGCTTTTGTTTGTTGGAAGATTTTTAATCACAGTTTCAATTTCATTACTTGTGATTGGTCTGTTCATATTTTCTATTTCTTCCTGGTTCAGCCTTGGAAGGTTATACATTTCTAAGAATTTGTCCATTTCTTCCAGGTTGTCCATTTTATTGGCATAGAGTTGTTTGCAGTAGTCTCTTAGGATGCTTTGTATTTCTGCAGTGTCTGTTGTAACTTCTCCTTTTTCATTTCGAATTTTATTGATTTGAGTCCTCTCCCTCTTTTTCTTGATGAGTCTGGCTAATGGGTTATCAATTTTGTTTATCTTCTCAAAGAACCAGCTTTTAGTTTTATTGATCTTTGCTATTGTTTTCTTTGTTTCTATTTCATTTATTTCTGCTCTGATCTTTATGATTTCTTTCCTTCTACTAACTTTGGGTTTTGTTTGTTCTTGTTTCTCTAGTTCCTTTAGGTGTAAGTTTAGATTGTTTATTTGAGATTTTTCTTTTTACTTAACGTAGGCTTGTATAGCTATAAACCTCCCTCTTAGAACTGCTTTTACTGCATCCCATAGGTTTTGGATCGTCGTGTTTTCATTGTCATGTGTCTCTAGGTATGTTCTGATTTCCTCTTTGATATCTTCAGTGATCTCTTGGTTATTTAGTAATGTATTGTTTAGCCTCCATGTGTTTGTGTTTTTTACGTTTTTTTCCCCTGTAATTCATTTCTAATCTCATAGCGTTGTGGTCAGAAAAGATGCTTGCTATGATTTCAATTTTCTTAAATTTACTGAGGCTTGATTTGTGACCCAAGATGTGATCTATCCTGGAGAATGTTCTGTGTGCACTTGAGAAGAAAGTGTAATCTGCTGTTTTTGGATGGAATGTCCTATAAATAACAATTAAATCTATCTGGCTCATTGTGTTATTTAAAGCTTCTGTTTCCTTATTAATTTTCTGTCTGGATGATCTGTGCATTAGGTTAAGTGAGGTGTTAAAGTCCCCCACTATTATTGTGTTACTGTTGATTTTCTCTTTTATAGCTGTTAGCAGTTGCCTTATGTATTGAGGTGCTCCTATGTTGGGTGCATATATATTTATAATTGTTATATCTTCTTCTTGGATTGATCCCCTGTTCATTATGTAGTGTCCTTCCTTGTCTCTTGTAATAGTCTTTGTTTTAAAGTCTATTTTATCTGATATGAGTATTGCTACTCCAGCTTTCTTTTGATTTCCATTTGTATGGAATATCTTTTTCCATCCCCTCACTTTCAGTCTGAATGTTTCCCTAGGTCTGAAGTGGGTCTCTTGTAGACAGCATGTATATGGGTCTCGTGTTTGTATCCATTCAGCAAGCCTGTGTCTTTTTGTTGGAGCATTTAATCCATTCACTTTTAGGGTAATTATCGATATGTATGTTCCTATGACCATTTTCTTAATTGCTTTGGGTTTGTTTTTGTAGGTCCTTTTCTTTTCTTGTGTTTCCCACTTAGAGAAGTTCCTTTAGCATTTGTTGTAGAGCTAGTTTGGTGGTGTTGAATTCTCTTAGCTTTTGCTGTCTATAACCTTTTTGATTTCTCCATCGAATCTGAATGAGATCATTGCCAGGTAGAGTTATCTTGGTTGTAGCTTCTTCCCCTTCATCACTTTCAGTATATCATGCCACTCCCTTCTGGCTTGTAGAGTTTCTGCTGAGAAATCAGCTGTTAATCTTATTGGAGTTCCCTTGTATGTTATTTGTCGTTTTTCTCTTGCTGCTTTTAATAATTTTTCTTTGTCTTTATTTTTTGCCAATTTGATTACTATGTGTCTTGGCATGTTTCTCCTTGGGTTTATCCTGTATGGTACTCTCTGCACTTCCTGGACTTGGGTGGCTATTTCCTTTCCCTTGATAGGGAAGTTTTCAGCTATAATCTCTTCAAATATTTTCTCTGGTCCTTTCTCTCTCTCTTCTCCTTCTAGGACCCCTATAATGCGAATGTTGTTGCGTTTAATGTTGTCCCAGAGGTCTCTTAGGCTGTCTTCATTTCTTTTCATTCTTTTTTCTTTATTCTGCTTGCAGCAGTGAATTCCACCATTCTGTCTTCCAGGTCACTTATCTGTTCTGCGTCAGTTATGCTGCTATTGATTCCTTCTAGTGTAGTTTTCATTTCAGTTATTGTATTGTTCATCTCTGTTTGTTTGTTGTTGAATCTTCTAGGTCTTTGTTAAATATTTCTTGCATCTTCTCGACCTTTGCCTCCGTTCTTTTTCCGAGGTCCTGAATCATCTTCACTATCATTATTCTGAATTCTTTTTCTGGAAGGTTGCCTATCTCCACTTCATTTAGTTGTCTTTCTGGGCGTTTATCTTGTTCCTTCATCTGGTACATAGCTCTCTGCCTTTTCAACTTGTCTATCTTTCTGTGAATGTGGTTTTTGTTCCACAGGCTGCACGATTGTAGTCAAGAAATTTTATTTTTAGATGAGAAGAATCAACATTGCAAAAATGCCATTTCTCCTAGATTATTAAATCAGTAGAGTGTAAATTCAGTACAATCCCCAAATATTCCAATAGAATATTTACAACTTAATAAAATGATTCCCAAAATTATTCTAGGAGAGTAAACATAGGAGTTGCCACATAAATTCTGAAAAAGAACAGAAAGGAAGAGTAAGAATTAGCCTTATAAAATATATTATAAAACTACAAACAGATTATTATAACAGAAATATACCTGTAGAATTGAAATAGACCCAAGTGTATATGAGAATTTAGTCTATGATAAAAAGTGGGCATTTCAAATCAGGTGGAAAAACAAGACTGAGTGTTCAGTAAGTACTGTTAGAACCACTGGCTTCTTTTTTGCAGAAGAAAATTAAGATAACTTTACATATTCTAATTCCAGATGGAGTAAAGATGTAGATTTTAAGAAATAAAACCTTACAGGTATAAGAACACAGTTAGGTGATTTTTTTTCCAGTAATCTTAGGAGTAGAAAAAGACATGACATCAAAACCAGAAATTAGAAAGTGAAGGTGATATGTTTGTCTCTGTAATAATTCAGGAGTCCCACACAGCATTAACCAAAACACAAACCAGAAAAACCCCATAAACTAAATTAAGATACATAACATATGGGAAAAAAAATTTGTAACATATATGACTGTGTTATTACCTGATCCATAAAGAAAAATTGTGAAAGGACATTTGTATTTCATTCATAGAAGAAAAAATAGAAATGGCCAGCAACAAATGAAAAGATGGTCAACTACTCAGTAAGCAGATTTAAATTAAAACAAAATTTTCTCACCTATCATGTTAGCAAGGATTGCATTTAGTACTAAGTGTTGGTGAGAGTGTGGGGAAAAGGTACACACAGTGCTGGTGGGAATGGAATGTACACTGGACTTTGCTGGAAGACAGTTTATCAGTATGTATCAAAATTCAGAATGTGTGTGTTCATTGACCCAGAGTACTTTGCCTAGGAACTTATCCTAAGGAAATATATACACTAATATATATATCCAAGGATTTTAAATGTAATTTTTATATTAAATAATCGGAAAGAAATTATTAATAAATGTACTTACGTCATTAGATAATTGATTAAACTACATCCACAGTGGAGTTTTATGTAGTTATTATAAATGATATTGTAGCGCTAAGCTATACTTGTTGACCTAGAAAAATGTCAATGCAGAACATTACATAAAAAACATCAGGTCACAAAACAGTATTGATAGTAGAGTCCCATTTTGTATATTCATTATCTCTAGTAGATATTAAAATTTCTGGAATTATACTGATATATGTGTATGTTCCTAAAACAAGGTAGTATCAGTAGTTATCTCTAAGTGGTTGATTCATCAGTGGTTTTCACTTTCTTTTTATTTCTTCGTACTGTCACAGTCTTGTACAGTGATCATGAATTGCTTTTATAATCAGAATAAACAAAATCATTTTCATTAAACATAGCCATTGCAGTCTGGTTGTTTTTTGTCTGTAGTGGAGCATAGGTATTTGTGTGTCTCCTACAGCAACTCTTCATGTATAAAAAGGCTCTCTAGTCATTCCATAGTACTCCTATCCACAGAGTAAAAAGTCATGATTACTTTTTCTTCATGGTACTTACCTTTTTTTAAAAAAATCACTTTCTTTGTAAGAGGCAGTATAGGATAGTTCCTGGGATTAAATCCTGGCCCTGCTGCTTACAAATTTTGACCTCCCTGGGCCAATTTCCTTATTAAAAAATGGGTTCTTGTGATAATGAAACATTAATTAATACACAGAAAGTATATTCAGAACAATGCCTGGCAGGTAATAAACCCCCCAAAATATTAGTTACTGTTATTATTAATCCTTGGACTGTGTCTTAACTATGTACTCTGTCTCCCCATTATCTCAGTCTTGTTTTAAAATGAATTTTCTTAATGTTTGTTATTCTAAAGAGTGGAAAGACTAGTATAAGTAATCTGTGTGTAACTGTTGGTATATATATGTTATTATAAAAGTTCAGAATTGACATGGAAACTCAGAGTTACATCTCTTACCTACTTTCCTGTTGTTTTCTAATAGGTTTACTCATGGGGTAGCAATACCTTTGGTCAACTTGGGCATTCCGATTTTCCAACAACAGTTCCTCGTCTTGTAAAGGTACTTTAGTGAATTTGATAACTTTTATAGCAACTTATTCCAGAATTCTAAGTTAGAACACTTTATATTCCTCCATTTCTTGTTTTACAAAATTAGGAGAATTGTATACTTGTAACCTAAGTTTGTTATGATGTACACTAAAAATTTTAAAAAAAAGTGGAGCCACTTGTTTTCAGGCTAAATGTTTCCTTTTTTTTGATGTGTTAGTTTATATTTCTTTTCTTCTTGGCTTCATTGAGCATTCATAGTTTTTTTTAAGTAAAAATGAACAAGTTCATTCTTTTAAAGCAAATGTTTCTAGCACTGTGATGTTGACTTTTGAGCTTTATACTACCAAATAATGCCTACTCTTTGACTTCTCACCTAAGTTTAACTTTTATTTTAAGTGTGACTTTTATATAACATTATTTTATGGTTTGTTTTGTTTTGTTTGTTTTGTTTTTACATACATAGTAGTAAACCCTTTTTGTAACCCTTTTGATTTTCTATAGGGAAGCTAAAAGCATAGATAATTTCTTCACTGCTGTGTGAATTGGTTTTAGTTTATGTAATGCTATTCAGAGATTGGTAACTTCTAGTCCCCTTGATGCAGTTTTAGAGGACTGTTTCTCAACCTTTTTTTCCTGCCACAACGTCCTGCAGAAATACAAAATTCATCAATAGGATTGACTCCTTATATAAGATTTGTTTGTTTTGGGGGGTGTTGTTTGCAGGGAGTAGGCATGCTGATAGCCTGGTAGGCTAATAGAATGGAATGTGGAGCTCATGTATTCATAGTTTGATTCTGATATCTCCCCTATCCCAACACATGCTCTCTCCACTGAGAGTAATAGAGACTAAAAAAGTATAGTTACTTCAGTTTCAGGAACATCATTCACATATAAGCTATAGTTAATACATATTCTGCTGATTCATGTATTCAGTGTACACTATGCGTCCATCACTATATAAGACCTTTACATGCTGCCTTTCCTTCCAGTGAACTTAATTTTACTGGGGAGAAAAGACTTAAATAAAACATTAGGGAACAGTTGTTAATTCTAGCTCCAATCTTAAATATTTTCAGCATAAAACATTTTAGTGGTAAGCTATTCAATTTCTGATATTTTATCACAAAAATATGGTAACTCACTGTTCCTTGTTTTCTGTTATTTGAATAAAGTAGAATATGCATCTATTCATACTAAGGAAACTTTTGTAATATAGCATGGAGACGCTGGAAATACAATTTTTATTTAAAATTTTAGAGTCAGACAAGAGAGAATAGAATTTGTTATAAGGTTTTAGTTTTGTTACCCTTTAACTGTGTGTATGAAAATACAACATCATCATTTTGGGTTTTTTGGGGGGGAGGGGTGAGAAAAACATTTTGAAGTCATTTTAATTAATATGTGAATTAAAGTCAAGGCAGAGTGAGATCTGAATTAGTTTTGATTAGAGACTAAGAAGATGACTCTTCCTTCTCCAAAAATTTTAATTCATTCTTTGCAAAACCAACAGGAAGTCAGTTATTTGGATAGCCTGAATTTGAGAAAATAATGTCATGCTGGAAGAGGATAACTGTAAAGTAGTGGAGACGTGTGTGTGCACGCTCACACACACACACACACACACACACACACACATTCACCTAATCACCTAGGATTTGAACCCTGTCTAGACACAGAGAATCTAACAGATTAGAAGTTTTTTGCTTATTCTTATACGAGTCATGGCTGAAGCTGGGTCTGCAGGTTGGGGCAGTAGTTTTCATTAGCAGAACACTTCCTTCAAATGAAACCTTACGCAGAATCCCCTACATAAAACAGATAACCGTGGAACTGTTTTAGTTGAAGGATGGAGGTGGGTTGGGGGCAAAACCCTGCCACCTGCCTTTCCATGGTGGCTCCTGAATCACTGCGTGGAATCCTAAGGTTTGAAAAACATTGATTTAAGGCAGTGGTTTTCAAACTTTTGCATACATCAGAATCACCTGGAGAGCTTGTCAAAGCAGGTTGCCCGCTCGGACCCCCCAGTAGCAATGTGGCCTGCGTGTGCATTTCTCACATGTTCCTAGATGATTGCTGCTGCTGCTGCTGCTGCAAAGACTACTCGTTGAGCACCACTGGTCTAGGGGATCCATGTAGATGGGCTTCTAAGGGGTCCTGCCTTTTTCAACATCCTGGGACACAGTGAAGTCACATCAGAGAGGTAGTGAGTTCCAAGTGGGAAAACAACTTTAGCACCCACAGGTTTAGTTGGCCAGGATGGAATTTAGCCTTGTTAGATTTTCTTTTCACCTTGATTTTTGTGCACATAGCAGAATATGTATGGACAAAGGTGTGTCCTAGCTGTCAGAATAGGGCTCTAGAAGTTTCTGGGCCTTTGTAGTACAAGCTGAGTCTATGGCAACTTCCAAAAATAACAGTGAAAAAATCAAATCTACGGTTTTATCTTTTTAAATTTCAATTTTTCAGTTTTTTATAAAACAATCCAGTTCTAAATTTACAGGCTGAACAAGGGTTCCTTCTCACTCCTGCATCTGTTCTGCAGTTAATCGGGTACGTTGCTGGGTGAGTTTTGCCATCTAGGGATGTGACTGACTTTGTACTCCACCTGTTCAAGTAACTTAACATTCCATTTCCCGTGGATTTGGAGTTCCATCAGATTTCTTCATCTCGGACAGACAATGTCCTCCTGTCATTGCAGGTGAATAGTGAAAATGGAGTCTGGAGTGTAGCTGCAGGCCAGGATTATTCCCTGTTTTTAGTGGATACCGAAGACTTCCAGCCTGGATTATGTTATAGTGGCCGGCAGGACCCGACAGAAGGTGACAACCTTCCAGAGAATCACAGTGGTACTAAGACTCCAATACTTCTCTCCTGTAGTAAGGTGAACAGGAATTGGATCCTAAGGCCCACATTCTATAACACATGAGAAGTCTTTTGTTTCTGTTGCTTTTGTATGGTATGCCTGTTATTAAGTGTCTCTGACTAATGTATTTAAAATTGCAAACCAATTTGCCATCCCCCTTCTCTCCTTATCTCCTTTTCCTGCCTTATTTCTTTCCACAGTGCATATCATTATCTCACACACTATATAGTTTACTTATTTTGTCTATTGTCTGTCCTCCCTTTACTGTAAGATTCATAAGAGTAGGGATTTTAGGCTCTCTCATTTACTGTTGAATCCTCATAGTAAATATTCTATATTTGTTGAATTAACACCCTCACATAGGAATATTAAAACACATATTTCACAACGAAGTCTTCTGACTGTGTTCATGGAGTCCTCAGAGATGAATCAGAATAAAAATTGAATAGATGAATTTTTAACTGTAAGTGGGAAGTAAAAATTGCAGGGGCCTGAGGTGGGCTCGTGGCAGACCTGACAGGCCACAAACAGTGCCCTGTTTCCCATCACTTCCCCTCTTTTCTTAGCTTTTCGTTTTGTTTACTACTGTTTGATCTGAATTTCTTTGCTTTCCTACTTCTTACCTCTTTTTCATAAACATAAAACCATTGGTCTGTTTCTGGTTTTCTTTTCCCCCCACTTCAGTAACTCACACCCTCAAAGTGATGCACTGCAAGGAAATTAACCCTCAAAGCTAGGACATTCTGGATTTTTTATTCTTACTGACTAATATAGCCTATGGATTGTTTTTTATCCTTTTGTGTTTCTTTTTATGGCTAAATATGTAAGCTCTGAATGTATATAGGGGTGAGATCTTTCTTGCTAAAAGTAACACTGGCCAAGGTTTGGTTCTTGACCTATATTAGACTGTTATTCCAGACATACTAATTGACGCTGTAGTTCTTGACCCTGACTCCACATTCCTCATTAAAGATTCCACAGTCCAGATAAAGGGTGAAATAGGCTGATGAAAGAGATGAGACTCAATATGTGTCTTTAGTTACCATGGGCTGTTAATAGTCTATTGGCCTGCAGCTTGGTTGCCTAGTTTAATAGGGATATGTGACAAAAGGCATCAAAAGTTTTTATTCAGTGGTGTCATGAATAAATGACAAAATCCCGTTTTAAAGAAAACCCCTTTCTGTTGTACTTTTAAAAGATAGCTCCTAGATTGTTGATATTTTGACATACAGCCTAGAGATCCTCTCTGCTCTCATCTATTTCATGCAAAAGGGGGTCCTGAGGCATGTGTCTGTATCATTTGGATCTTTGTATATTCAGAGGGTCTGTGATTCTAACCACATGTAAAATGAAATAAAAGGTATTGTGACAATAAATAATAGTATAGATGTATATAGTTATATATAGATCGTGCTATAGGTATATAACAACAATGTACTGGTAAACCATCCCTAAAAATCAAAATAAAGCCAAAAGCTCTGATTTATAGTGTTTTCCAATTTTTTCTGGTAATTTCCCTATTGCCACTTTCAAACTACTAACGATTTAATAAGCAATTTGCTGCAGAATTCCTGCACTGGCTCTCACCAGCTGATATGAGCCAACTTCAGTGCCCAAATTGCTACTAATAAATTATATTTTATCTTTAATCTTTTTCTTTTCCTGTTTTAGCTTGGATATATAAGCAGAGTGACAGCAGGAAAAGACAGCTATCTAGCCTTGGTGGACAAAAACATTATGGGATATATTGCCAGTCTCCATGAGTTGGCTACTACAGAAAGACAGTTCTATTCAAAACTAAGTGATATCAAGTCTCAGATTCTGAGGCCTCTTCTCAGTTTAGGTAAGTAGAACCTCCCCCCTCCCCTCTTGCCACCCACTCAGTTATCAGGACTCTTGTTTTATCTGTTTTTTCTATGTCACAAATAAAGAAAACTTTTTGTTTGAGTTGTTCTCTTCTCCTTTCTTTCAAGTCTCTTCTTTTGTGCGCAGGTAGTCAACAACTTACAAACTATTTCCACTAAGCCAATAGCCCAGCTGCCCCTATCCTTCCACCCCCAGAGCTCCTTTCACTTGTGGAAGTAGAAAAATGGAGCTTTCAGAAGATTCATGGCAGAGAGGCAGAACAACTTTGGGAAAGTTGATCCTAGGAGTCAGACTTCTAAACGACACTTCTAGCCCCGCTAGTCCTAAGATACCTTACGTTATATGCTAACCCAATTTTTCATTTTGTTTGTTCTGGTTCTTAGAATTTTATCAGGTAGAACTTCATTTGGATTTACAAGTAGTCTCTAAAAATGTGGATAACTGTAAGAGTGTTAACGGTCTTACTCAACATTAGCAGGGATTGATTAAATCTGATCCCTTTTCTTAGCTGTAATCAGTTACAAGAGAGATTGAAGGTAAGGAGACAATATGGGGAAAATAGATTACAATAGTCCTAGATGGGGTGCTACTGTCCAGATATACTAGGGTATAGCATATAGACCCCTCTTGGGGTATCGAGGAGGTTAGAAAGGAATGCAAAATGGAGTTGGGGGTGGGCTGTTAAAGGTTAACTTCCCGTAGTTCAAAATTTTTTCAGGGTTTGCCCCTACACTCAGAAGATGGACAGGATGTTTTTTTTTTCTCTTTCTTTCTCCTGAACTCCTTGACCCCCTGTGTGCACACAGAATTCAGACCAATACTGTAGTACTTAAATTCTGCCTTGTTCATACATCATTTTTCCACTTTAAGGTGACGTTGGCTTGTGTAGGTCAGTCCATTATTTTTAATGGGAAAACATCTACCTTTCTTTTTTTTTTTTTTTTTTTTTTTTTTGGAGGTTAGTTGCTTTTACTTTTTTTTTTTTTTTTTTTTTTTATTTTTTATTGGAGTATAGTTGCTTTTACTTATTTATTTATTTTTTAATTGGAGTGTAGTTGCTTTTCTATTTTTTAAACACCTAACTTACAGTCTTTCCAAATTCAATCCCTTTGTAAGTTGGGGACTATCTGCATTTGTTTTTGTTTTTAATATGTTTTGCTTTTTTAAATGTTGTAGAGTTCTATATTCTATATATAGATTCCTCTCCAGTGGGTGGGCTCAACACCCCAGGACTTTGGCAAGGGATATGGAAGCAATCCAAGCTGGAAGCTTCCTGGATTGCTCTAAAAGGAAAGTGAAACTTGCCCTTTTCCTGTTCTGATTCCTGATTTCTTTGTTGGTTTTAGCTGGTCTGCTTATCCACCTCACTGCTTGGAGAAAAGTCTTCCAAATTGGGAGCTTTGAACTGGGAAAAAGCAATAATCTCCTGATGCCCTCTATAAAGTTAAGAGTGACCAAGGCAGTCTGGTTATTGGATTGCTCTGTCTGCAGTGAAGGGTTGGGCTTGCCCAAGGGACAGGTAGAGTACAGTACAGAAGTTGAAAATGTTAACCAAGCTATAGCTATAGAAGTGAGTTTAATTCCTGGCTGTCACTAACCAGTTTTGTGAAATTAGTTAATTCACTTCCTTTCTCTTGGCCTTAGATGACTTATCTTCAAAATGAGAGAATTGGATTAGCACAGTGGTTCTCAAATTTGGCTGGTCTTCAGAATTACTGGAAGGCACTTTTTAAAAAAAATATATCCATCGGGGGATCTTAACTCTGGCCTACTGAGTCAGAATCTGTAGAGTCCTGTGAATGTTTTTAACCGGTTCCTCAAATGACTGGATACTGTGGTGTCTGAATTTGCCTTTTTTTTTTTAAACACTGATTATTTAGGTTCCATAGTTGAGAGTACATCTCAACATGTTAAGTATTTTTAGAAGAGGGAAATTAGTAATCTTGGTCATAAAAAAGTATTCAGATAATGAATCTTTAGGTTATGTTATCATCATCATCATTATTTTGTTCCAGAAAACTTGGGCACTGCAAGTACAGTCCAGCTGTTGCAGGAGGTGGCAAGCCGGTTCAGCAAGC